TGTATATATATATCTAAGCTGGCCTCAAGTCAATGAATAAGTGCACCAATTGTTAAATCATACACTCTGAATACCCATATTTTATAAAAGCTGATTATCTACTGTTAAAGCTGGGATTTTACTACCCAGAACCCAATTAAATTTAATTCCAAAAAGTTGAACCAAAAAGTCACTTAGATATGATCTGTATGACGAAATGAAGTGGGGTAAAAAAAAAAATAAAAATCACACATTATACTTCTTTTTAAAAAGAATTCAAGAGGGAAAAAATAAACATATCATCAGTCAGACTTGGTGTGGTTAGTGTGATGGTCAGGGCCTGCATTGGATTCTCTGGGTCCATAAAACTTGCTGTTAAATCGCTAATTTAGCACACCTATGAAAAGATCAAGGGACAAATATCTTTCCATCTATAAGTTAGTTACCTTAAGGCCAGACCTACTTGGCTTGTTAAATTGAATCTGACTCTCACAAATTCAATTACTGAATGTCTGAATTCTTCTAAAATCTGTGCCGTCTCACACATTTTCAAAAATTTTTCTCCAGTCGCACAGATACAACTAAATATCTTTTGAAGGAGGAATTTAATTAGTCAGATGCAATTAAAGGAAAGGAAACAGACACAACTGGACATGTTTAAATTAACTCTGGCTTATGTGAAATCACCAGAGGCATCGTAGCAACAGCTGTTGGTTTAGGAAGCAGATTACTATGGCAGGCAACACTTGATTTAAGAAGAAATCCATCAAAAGTGGGTAAATGTTCCATTCCTGAACCTAATAATTAATTCTCTTTCCCTCTCAGGCATCATCTCTGTAAACAGCCGCAGGTCTCCTTTTACAGCCAGTGGTGAAAACGAGATCTTGGACTTGGAAGGGGATCTTTATTTGGGAGGTCTGCCCGACAGCCGGGTGGGTTTGGTGCTTCCAACAGAGCTCTGGACCGCTATGCTGGACTATGGTTATGTAGGCTGCATCCGGGACCTGTTCATTGATGGACGGAGCAAGGACATCCGGCAGATAGCTCAGTCACAGAACGCAACGGGCATCAAGTCATCGTGCAGCAAGATGACAGGGAAGCAGTGCGACAGCAGCCCCTGCAAGAACAGTGGGGTGTGTAAGGAGGGATGGAACCGGTTCATCTGTGACTGCACTGGAACAGGCTTCTGGGACAGTACCTGTGAGAGAGGTCAGTTTTCCTCAAGTCTTCTTTTTAATCTCAGTGTTGTTGTTTTTTATAGAGATTTATAGAGGCAAAACATTTGAAGGATGATAAAAACACGTTTGAAGCGGTTTGGTGTTTTTGTTGGACTTGAATCAGGATTTATGGTTATTTCTTTTTCCACTTCTGGCTTTTGTAAATCTTTTAGCTACTGATGGTAGCCAAACCATCACACACAGCATTTAAAATATGATATTTTAAAATTTCTAGGTGACTTATCACTTGTATAAAGATCATAGGTAATGCCACACTGAGCTCGTAAGAGAGAAGGTTTTTTCTTTTTTATTATTATTCTCAACAAAAAAAGCACCTCATGTTGGCAATTAGCGCAATTAAAATAACATGCTTTGTAAAGAAAAAATGAAATAGGTGTTGAATACTTCATGAAAAGAAATTCAAAAAGAGCAAGCTGGAAGAAATCAGAAACAGTAGTTGCTAAAAATGAATCAGGTCATGTTTTCCTGCCCCTCAGGGTGAGAAAAATGGGTGTTTGCAGATTTGCTGCTGTACAGGTCTTTATCAGGCTGGATGCTGCCAGCAGATTCAGTTTTGCTGTTTGTATTTTACATAAGAAGATTTGTTATGGGCCATTCACTTCCTCATTTTTTTTTTATAATTAAATATCCATCTAATGCTAATATGGCCAAAGTTTAAAATTACCTATTGCAACAGGTGCAACAAAATTATTAATATTGATACTATTTTCAGATAGCAGAAATAATCCTTTGTCTGTGACCAGTTCAGACCGGCTTGTCTCTTCTGTTTCTTTAAAATCGAGGCACAAAGAGAGTTACCTACTGCTGATAAGATGTGACTGCTCCTAAGCTCTTTTAAAAAAAGCTTCAATTAAAAAGGTCTGACCTTTTCCTATAAGAGTCTCTTTTAAATTGTATTTTTTTTTTTTTTTAGAAAAAATGTGCTCCATGTATAAAATGGAAATATATTCTCATTGGCTATTTTTTTACAGATACCTTTGTAGATCAGATGCATCGCTAATTCCTGAAAAAAATCCAGTTCTTAAATGCCAAATGAGGTAAAAGTTCTGCCCTTGCTATGTCTCAAGAAAAAGTAGTGACACCACAAGAAAACTCTCATAATGACTTTTTGTTTTTAAAAGAAAAAGTTATCTTCTGAGGTCAAATCACTTCAATTCATTGTTTTCTGCTGCGCAAGGTACTGCATACATGGTGTGAATAAGTTTAGAAATTTAATTTTGCTTCCCAGAACTTACTAATCAAGCAATAAGAGAAACAAATTAACTGTTTGGTTTAACTTTTTTTCATTTAGATTTGTAGAGCACAAATATACGTGTCAAAATACGTGCATCATTTTTCAGTTAGTTGGACGAGCGCTTTGCAGCAAGAAGGTCTTCAGTTTAAATTCCTGCCTCGGGTCTTTTTGCATAACATTTGGTGTTCTTGTTGTACATGAATTGGTTATTGTCAGGTACTCTGACTTCCTCAAACAGTCTAAAAATACTAATGTTAGGTGGATTTGTGTCTCTAAATTGCCCTTATTTGTTGATGTGTTCACAATATAGTTTGTCCTGTTTATCTTTGTAATGGGTTAGCAACCTCTCCAGGATTAAAATGGCAGCTCTTTCCCACCTTTTGCCCAAAGACTGTTGGCGATAATTAACATTCCCCCCAGTGACATTACAAACAGCTGTTTTTTACTGTTTTTTTTTTTGTTTTTGACTTAATAATTGCTGTGACAGACTGGAGACTTTTTCAGGGTGTACCCTACCTCTCGCCCCATAGACTGCCATTCTGGGTCCCCAAGAAAAAAAGACCCTTAACCCCACACAGCTCCCCGGGCCCCCACAAGTGCGCATCCCCAAGGGGATGCATTAAATCCAGAGGTAAATTTCTCTAAAGTGAGATCAATAAAGTTAAAAAAATAAATAGACAAAGGGCTTTAAAGAATCGCCATGCTGTCATGGTTTTAAGGTGTTTGGCCCACATGCAGATGGTGGAAAACAGACGCAGTTTAAGATGCTTATTAGACTACACAAAAATAATATCAGTTCAGAACAGGGGCCGCAGACAAGGTTTGGAACTTCAGTGTTCGGAGTTGTCCAACTCGGTAGTACCGAGGGGAACACCAGAGCGGAATCTGAGCAGCAGGGATTCAGAAACCAGTCCTCAGAGCATGGAGACAGGCAAATCCACAACTTTAAAATACAGCTGTTCTAATTGAATCCAAATGTAAAAGAAAGGCAGTTAAAAGTCTTCTTTTATTTTCCCCAAAATGAATTACAACAGTTAAGATCCAACAGATATTAATGATTTTTATATAAAGTATATAATTTCATATTAGATTGTTTTGTTTTCTTTTTTCTGCATTGTTTACTGTTATATTTGAATAGCAAATACATAGTTTTGCAAGAGAAATTCCCACAGAAAACATGTTTTTAATTCACAGTTTGGAAATAATTAGAGAATAAACCAATTCAGTTAGCAATTGATATATTGGTTCAGTTCTACAGTGTGTGTATAAAACTAAGTCTAAAACACATTTTGTCAAATATATAAAGTAAAGCTAAAATTAAAAAAAGTTAAAACTATATTTCCTCCTACCTCAAGTCTAGTGTAAAATTGACAAAGGTGGAGCTGCAGTCTTCTAACAATGGCTTTTCTAGTGAATAATTTCCTGTTTTAGGAAAAATAAGCAGAAAAAAATGAGTCAGGATACTTCATATTATTTATGACAGCTATGCTAAAAAACTATCTGGATTTCACTTTTCCTTCATATTTTTTTTGTGTCGCTTGTGATGCTTGTGCAGAGATATTAGATTTCCTGTTGGTCAAATGGGCTCTTCTTGTTTTAGTCTGAAGAGATCAGCAGCATAAAGTTTTCATGAAGCTGTAGAGATGGGGACTCTCCAGGCTGTGGGAGAGTGTGTTATCAGGGTATTGTCCAGAATCTTCCTGGCTTTTTTCACGATTTTACTGAGATCTGCTGGGTTCACCAGAGGTCCTGGAGCACTCTCAGAAGAGCCTGAGGCATGTAAAGAATCTAGCTTGTATGCCAAGTAATGAGTGCCTTGAGAGCAGGCTGTTGAAGCAAGAAGGGACATTAGGTGGGGAGATGATAATTTATCATAAGCAGAGTCAGTAGAGAATATCTACATGTAGGAACACTGCATTTCAAATACATAAAGGACTGACCTAGTCATCCTTTGTGACGACACATAAAATTGCAGGGTATCTCAGCTTAATGTTCACAGAGAGAGTGACATTT